AAAAAAAAAAAAAAAAAAACACATGCGGAGCAAACAAAAAACACACACTCCTACCATTCCCACATGCAAGTGATCACGTGCGCTGCAAATTTGGGCGCCTGCGCTGTCCTATTTTGGTTCTGCACCATTGGCAGCGGCAACAGGCCGACAAGCGGTGCAGGTTTGGAAGCGTGCTCGGTCCAAGAATCTGGACCTTCGAGCCCGTTGATTTTCATCACCGTTCGTCTGTCTCGAGCGGCCGGCCTGTGGGCCCGCCTCCTCAGTTTGTCCCGTCCGTGGATGTTTGGCAGGGCACCTTGCGCGTTTAGCCTCCCAACAACCTCCGGCATGGGTTACATCCATTGCAAACGAACTTGGGGCCGCAGGTGTGCCGCATCTTGCGGATTGGGGAATTCATTTTGGATGTGCTCAAAGTTTGGTCAGGCGGTGGTTGGGACATGCCAGCCTAATCTAATTGGGCAGGTTTCATGCAAACTACGTTCTCGGTTCGCAATAAACTACGGAAAGCTTGCATCCTTACATGATTTGGCAATTTGTGCCACGGTTGCATCCTCTTTTATTTGGTCACAACACATGTGCACATGCTCATCATGCTCGATGTTGGGCATTTCCCCGGTGTGGGCATCATGTTTTTGCCGATGAGCGTTCCGTTCGTCATCGCAACACATGCATCGGCTCGCCGTGTCGTTTCTGTTTCTGGGCTTCGATTCACTGGAGCATGCCCTTCTGCAATGCCCCGCGCGCACCCTGGCACAGACCGGTGGCATCAACGTAGCGGTTGTGGCAAATGCCTGTCGCTCCACGCTTTATTGTGTACAGAAGGTGCCCCGAACAAAGCGCGGGATATCTTAAATGATATCGCTTTTGTCGGCCATGTGTGCGACGCTTTTGCTTGCGAAATATGATATTGGCGGCTTGTGATAGGTGAGGTTTTGCAATGATATGGGCGGGCCAACCATAGAACGATCACCATTGCAATTGTGTTTACAATTCCTTTTTTCTGTTGATGCGTCTTTTAAGCAGTTTTTCTGTGATCTTGTGTTTGCATGTTGTATCTTTGTGGCATATGCGTCATGCTCAATGTTTCACGTCTGACCACGACCCATGGTCGTTTCATGTCTTGGCTTGACATTCACGAATAACGGCGCAATATCGTTGAAATCCACAGAAAAAAACCACATGTACTACATGTGGCAAATGTGGCATGCCGCAGGGTCTCTGAACACCATGTTTTTCCAGTGGTGTTTCAGCGCTCGATGTTCACGCGCAATGCGCCTTTCATGTTGAACCATGACGGAAACATTCCCAAGAGCTGCAACAGTTACTTGAGCGCGGCGCTGCAACGCTTTGTGTGTCCCACGAGAAATGAGCCTCGGCCCCTGCCACACGATCCAGCATTCGATCGGCGAAGAAATTACAAAAAAAAAGAAAATACAGACGTGACAATTTTTCCCGATGTTTCCTCGTGTTCCCTTTTTGTTTTCCTTATCCCTTTCCTGTATTTCCCTTTGGGTCGTTCGCTCCCGCCCCGGCACATCCAGGCGGCTGGGCGCTAACGGCCCAGGCGTCTGCCGTGACCAGAGGCAGCTCCAGCACCGAAAGCGCGTAGGCGCTGGGCCACCACTGCCACCAGCATCCGGTCCATTTGCGATGCTGGCTTGCAGCGATCCCCTTCTCAGGCAGGCGGGCGCCCGGCGTGCCTTCGAGGCCGCCTGGTGTCAAATGAAACCGACGATTGCAGCGCCCACGCAGCCACCAACCTCAAAACCCAGCACGGCGTGACAAAACAGTTTGCCGGGTTTTCTAAATTTCGATGAACTGCATTTTTCTTTCGGCTCTGTTTAGCTTGTTTCCCCAATCCGACAGAAAAATGACAAATCTATGCAACTTCGGGAAAATGCGTGATGTCCTGAGCATTTCACTGCCTTTGTGTTGTTTTTCGTGTTGATGTTGCGGCGCGCAGCGAGCCCGGCGTGTGGGCAAATGGTTGGCAAATGGATGCTGCTCTCGCACTCCACACTTCTTTCCGAGAGCAGGTTCTGCTGCCGGCCATTTGGCCCAGCGACCGTGCGCTGCTGTGTTCCCGAGCAGGCCCACATGCAGGGGCATGGCTAGCTGCCATCCCTGCTGACCCCGCCACAACATTTGCGCCAGAAATCCTGCACCTTGCGCCCCGGCGCCAAATGCATCTGCCTCTGCCGCTCGCACGAGCCAGGTGTGCGGGGGAAGGAGCGCCAGGCTGCCGCGCTCTGGTCGACAACCTGAGAGATCACGCGCTGGCGTGCCCGCCCACGGGCCTGTTGGCGCGCCGCGGTTTCGGGCTCGAAAGAGCCTGGATCCAGGTTGTCCGGGAGGCGAAGGCAGAGTTGTGCCACAGCAGTGGTTGGCCAACACCACGGCTCCAGGGGTCGCAGCAGACGATCGACGACGGCTCGATTTCGTCGTATATGGTGCTGCCGCACGCGGCGAGGCCCTGTGCTGCGATGCAACACTCGTGTCACCTGTCCGACGCGATGGCAGCCCCCAAGCGGGAGCGCCTGAGCGGGATGGGGTCGCAATTGCGACGGCACAGCGCCGCACTGGCATGTTACCCCGAACTCACTCGCGGTGGCCCCCATCGCCTGTGCGTTCTTGCCGCTGAAGTTAGGGGGCCGCTGGAACGACGAATCCCAGCGCTTGGTGCAACGCCTCGTTGCAATGCGTGCGCGCCGTGCCGCTGCCACGCTGCGCACCGCAGCCTCACAGGGATGGGCAAGGCGTTGGTGGGGTGCCTTGGCGGTTGCGGTCCAGTGAGCGACATGCAGCGCTGTCCTCGGAGTCTGGACAACAGCCTCCGCTGGTGCCGTCAACCATGTCCCTGCATGTGGCGCAGCTTGCGAGCGCACTACGCGCTCAGGTCGTTGGCACGCGTGGGATTGCCAGCCGCGCGGACAGCCCCAGCTTGTGTCCTGCATGCGTGGAGGGAGCGCCGTCAAAAAAGGACCACCACCCAGGGCACACTTGCCAGCCTTCATTTTGAAGGAGCGCGTGCTGGTCTCCAATCAGCCGCGTGCTTGGCACGGGCTGCATACCGGACAGCATGGGCCAATGCTCTGCTCATCATGTGCATGGAGGTTCTGGACTCAGGCGCCCCCGTAGCATGTTTTGCGCCGGGCTGCAGTTGCCCGTGCGCGGCGCCTCACTGAGGGTTGGGACGCTCTTGGCGAAACACGGCCGCCAGCCAGGCTCCACCACGGACGCCGAGTTTGGCGTGCTGTTGCCGTGTTTGCCATCTCCTCGCCAAGCTTTGTTGCCCTCCTCGGCCATACAGGTGCATGGCTGACAGCCATCCCGGGTGACGTCATGACGTCGGTTCCACTGCAGACCATGCAGGCGGCGCTGTGCCGGCGGTTGCGGCTCCTCCTGCCTGTGACCGCTCGCCGGCGCGGCCCTCTGCCAGGATGTGGAACGTGCGTGGACGCTTTTTGGCGACCATGCGAGGCATGCCCATGCTCAGGCTTGCTGGCGCGACGCGCCAAGGTGATCGAGAGGGCATGGGTGCGAGGCGGTCGGCCCAGAAAGCCAAGTTGTGCTTCTGGGCCACACTGCGGCCCCAGGGTAGCCGCTGAGGATCGGCGCCGGCTGGAGTTGTTGGTTCACGGCGCCACTCTCCAACGTTGCCCTTTGCTGCGGTGCAACCTGCGTGGCGCGTTTGACGCGCACGGGGCTGCTGCAGCCGCGCGCGGCGGACATGGATGGAGCCGCGCTTCGCGTTGCGGAACGTCGCAACGTCGATAAAATGCTTAATTTTCTGGATATGTTTGTATCATTTGTTTGCGTTTTCTTGTTCATTTCCCGTATGAGGAGAGAAAATTGGAACAACATTAGATTTTCTCGAATGTCCGCCCGTTTCGCATATTTTTTGTGTTTCTCTTCTTTTTGTATTCATGCATTAGCATCTTTTGTTTTGCAGTGTTGTATCCTTTTTTTTGTTTATCCTTTTGTCATTTCTGTTGTTGGACACAAGTTGTGCACTGGTGTCTTTCCTTTTTGTTTCTAAATGTATTTTTTGTTTCTCGATCGTTTTTTGATTTAGATTCCGTTGTTTTTCAGATTTTGGTTTGCAAGTTATTTTCGTTTTATTCCGGGATTTCCTGCTTCAATATTCTCATGTTGAAAACGTCACAGCGAACTCATAAGCCGCGACACAACTTCATCAAAAAAAATCCGAATAATCAAAACACGTAACAAGAACATAAGTTGCCGCAAAGAATGCAATGCAGTAACGGGCAACACACGAAAGATGATGTCTTTGTTTCGGTTTTATAGGGTTTCAGCACATTTCATCACCGCAATCAAATGCGTTGCAACATGTTGCAACCAACTGGATTTCCGACCTTCTCGTTGCACCATGGAAGTTAAACTGGTCGAGTTGTGTTCGTGTATATAATTACATCCGATGGTAACATAGGTGTCTCCGTTTGGGCAGCTCATTCCGTGACGTGAATCATTTTTTGGTTGCGGCGCATACCAAGGCCAATGTTAACTCGAGCACAATGCCAGACTCCAATAACATTGGTGATAATTCGAGACAATTTGGGCTTGTAGTGCACAAAGGGTTTCATTAACATGCACTAACTATCAACAGATACCATACTGGATTCGGTATTGTTGTGCCTTGATTCGTTCTACCCGGATTCTCCCCAGCGGCGAGGTTGATTTTGCTGCCACGGACCTGGAGGAGGTCTTGCGCTTGTCCTTCGGAGGTCCAGCGGTCCTGCGTTGCAGTACTCTGCGCATTTGATGTCCATACCGTGTTAGCTTTACACAGACATTTGCAAGGAAGTGAAATAAAAGAAAACGCGCCGTGCTGTAAAGGGATTTGGACTTGGAGCTTTCCAACTTGTTTGCTACAGGCAATGAAGTTCTCGGGGTTCCCAGTTCTGTCCCCGTGGCGCCGGCCGGGGGCTCGTCTGCAAACATGTATTGTGCGCAAACACACATATTGCTCACCTGAGGCTTTGCGATGCGCTATGTTGCTGAGCAGTTTGTTTTTCAGCGTGTTCTTGGCAGCAGCTTGGCAGCAAACGACGCATGTTTGGAAATTGTTGTTGCCGGCAACTGCGCCGGGACATCAACAGGCTTGTTGCGACCAGGTCATATTGTTGCGCTTGAGCCGCTTCATGACCAACACGAAAGAGGCTGTGTCTGGGTGGGGCCCTGGACGGCCATAAATCATAAAAGCAATGAGTGCAGAGTCTGTCCCTGTTACCAAGTTTTGTTTCGGCTCAATTTGTTAAGTCGCAATCTGGGAAATGCAGTGTCGCAGGTGACAACATCTTCCATTGAAGCACGTCTGGTCAAGGCGGACTGCACTGTATTCCGTGGTAGGGCATTTTGCACAACAAAGTCACCCACAAAAAAAATACAAAACACATGCTGTCTTGGTGCTTTGCCAAATCGTTCTTAATCCCTAAGCCAGGCAACGGAGGCTCTTTCATTGGTGCCGGTGATTGCGATTTTGATGTCCCGGAGCAGCAAATGGTGACGTGCCCATGTCTTGCCCTTCAAATTTGCAGAGCATGGTTTCCTGATTCAATGTGCGAGCCAGTTTGCTTGTCATTCAGGATTGGAACGAGGTGCCTTGCAATGCAATAGCAGTTGATTGACCAAACGTGCTTGCAACGGAAGAGCGAGTTTCCCTGCAGATCTCTACAGGTTGCGTGCTGTCCAGCTGGCGGGCAATGCTCTTGGAGCACCACCAATCTGGGCACAACTGTGCATGTGGCTTGCCTTGCACACCTCGGGAGCATGTATTGACGACGAGATCGAGTGAACAAATCTGTTCATATTCGTGATGCATGTATATGCTCAGGTACGGTGCCACCCTTGCTTGCTTCGTGCGGTTCCTCGCTGATGTGTCGACAACTCGCCATGGCGAGTCTGAATTGCAGGCACATAAAGCTATAAGCGTCTGAGAGGGAGGGAATGCTACTTGTCATAAAGCTACAGGTTTTAAGCGTGCCCTGTTTTCATAAGCGTATTGGAGATATAGTTACAGCAGTGAATAAACATCGTGTGACAATCTTGTACGGCTTTCTCAAAACATGCCCACGGTTGTAATCTGAGTCCCTTAGTTGATGGGCACTTGGAATATGGACCCAGTTCTTAAGGGTCTGGGGAGATGCGTCTTCGCTTTTTTTTTTTGCCCCCATACATGGTTGCGCGCTGTGCG